TTTAAAATTCTTAGAGTTATTGGATTACATGTTACTTTGTGTTTATATAAAGGGAGGTTGATGAAATTGTAAAAGGGGAGTTAAGGGGTCTTGGGAGTTATTAAATCTTGTAGTTAGCTAGTTTATTTTAGCGAATGTTTGGTGAAATCTATGCCCTGTTTTTGTTCTGGGAAGTCGGGGGTGGGGGGTGGTAAGGAGGGGTTGAAGATTGAGTTTACCAAATTGATTTTTTTTTTCTTTTTTTCTGATGATAGTATGAATGATTGTTTATATTGTATACTTGTTTGATCAGAAAATAAAAACTTTTTTATTATAAAAAAAAAAAAAAACAATGCTAGCTGAGGGACTTCCGGTTTGGCATCGCAGTCAGGGAAATAGCGGGCTCTGAGGAGTCCCGCGAAAACCTTGGCTGCCGAACCGCTGCCGATGGGTCTTCGGACTGGAACCGTCCTGCAGGGACGGGGGAAAAGGAGGGGCACCTCAGACGACCAAGAGGAACAGGCAAGTTCCTCGGAGGTCAGAGGGAACCCTTTGTGAGTCGGTGGCGGGGGGAGGCAACCATGGCGGCTGCCACAAAGCTGTGACAACCGGGCTAAGAAAAGTGCTGGAGGAAAGTGGAGTGAAACGGAGCTCTCTGAAGCCAGGTGAGTGACAACAAACCCAGGCTTATAACAACGTGTGGAGCAATATTATTACTTAGAAGACCCCCTAGCCTAAAATAGCGGCTGAGCAACAAAGGGGCTTTGGAAAGTTTTAAACTGCAACTTTAAAGAGACAACTAATTTTTGTACAGAACTAAAGGAATCAATTATTGAGATATGGTAAAAAGACTGGATCTTTTAAAATTCGAATTGGACTCTAAAAAAAAAAGATTTGGTACTTTTAAAATTAAAAGAAGAATTGCACAAAATGGATGCTTGCATGACTAATGGAAAATGTGGATTGTAGAGAGACACCATCTGGTTTAAAAAGGAACTTTGTAACTTTTTTTTTTTTAATTGATTCTGAGTTCTACAGATAAAAGTCGTGGGACTTTGTGGAGGAGTTTTTTTTTCCTGTCTGCAGACAGCTGGATGTTGGTGAAAAGAAAAGGAATTATAATGGAACTCCTATAGTTGAAACAACAATAATTAAAAATTGGCACAGGAACAAAAGAAGGAATGAGCGCAGGCCCAAGAGAGGGAGATTTGATACATTATATCCGGAATAAAAATAAGAAAAAGATTTAATATGAGTTATGGAGGACAAAACTGAAAACATTGAAAATGGAAGGAATATATGTTTGCAGGCGAGGAAATGAAGAAGTAAGATAAATACGACTGGAAAAAGAAAAAAGAAGATTTAAACAATGTGACTTAAAATAATGTAAAGGTGGATTGTAATAATAAAAAGGAGGTTTTTATAGAAATTAAGAATGTTAAATGGAAATTCTTTGAAAAAGGAATTGATGAATATATTTAAAGATATGTTTGAAGCAAGAACCATGTTTTAATGTTAAATTGTTATGAAAAAGAATAAGGATAAATATGATTAATTTAAAATGTTAAAAGGAATTTATAAATATATTTAAAGGTATGACTTAAGCAAGAACCATGTCTCAATGTTAAATTGTTATGGAAAAGGATAAGGATCACTTGTGGGGTGCCCCAGGGGTCGGTTCTCTCGCCCCTTCTGTTCAACATCTATATGAAACCGCTGGGAGAGATCATCCATGGTTTCGGGGTGAGGTACCATCAATATGCTGATGACACTCAGCTCTTTATATCCACCCCGAACCAGCCCAGTGATGCCCTCGACGTGATGGCCTGGTGCCTGGAAGTTGTACGGGTCTGGATGGGAAGGAACAGACTTCGGCACAATCCGGCCAAGACTGAGTGGCTGTGGGTACTGGCATCTCAATCCAGGGGAGAGGTTCCATCGCTGGCTATAGGGGGTGAAGTTTTACCCTCTGTGGACAGGGCACGCAACTTGGGTGTCCTCCTGGACTCACGGTTGAGTTTAGAAGATCATATAACAACCGTGACCAGGGGGGCTTATGCCCAGATTCGTCTGGTGTGCCAGTTGCGCCCCTACCTGGACTGGGATGCCCTACGCAAAGTCACCCATGCGCTAGTCACCTCCTGTAACACTCTCTACATGGGGCTGCACTTGAGGACCACTCGGAGGCTTCAGCTGGTGCAAAATGCGGCCGCGCGGGTTATGGTGGGAGAATCCCGATACTCCCATGTAACACCTCTCCTGCGCGACTTGCATTGGTTACCGGTTGCCCTCTGGGTGAGATTCAAGGTGCTGGTGATGACCTATAAAGCCCTACATGGCTTAGGCCCAGGATATTTGGCGGGCCACCTGCAGCCAGCAACAACATCCCATCGCCCGGTTCGCACCCATAGGGAGGGCCTGCTCAGGGTGCCATCGGCGAGACAATGTCGGTTGGCAGCCCCCAGGGGTAGAGCCTTCTCTGTAGGCGCGCCCACCCTCTGGAATCAACTTCCCTTGGGGCTTCGGCTGGCCCCTGACCTTCGCACCTTTCGCCGCGAATTAAAAACTTGGCTTTTCGAGTTCCCCGGCCTGGACTGATGGGGTTTTTATGGGTTTTAACTGTATTTGTTTAATTAGGCATTTTAATCTTGCATTGGATTGTGGTTTTATTGTTGTGGGCCGCCCTGAGTCCATTGGAGATAGGGCGGCATATAAGCCTAATAAAATAAATAAATAAATAAATAAATAAATAAATAAATAAATAAATAAATATGATTATCTGAAAATAAGCAATGTATAGATGGATGGGAACAACAAAGAAAGGATTAAGAAGAGATCAATAGTTAAACCAACTATGATTATGCTGTGTTTAACAGCCAAAAAATAAAAATAGATATGCTGTGTAACAGCCAGAAAACAAAAAGTACTATGCTGTATTTAACATCCAAACAAAAATGACAATGCTGTGTAACAGCCAAAAAATAAAAAAGAGTATGCTGTGTTTAACAGCCAAAAACAAAATGGTTATGCTGTGTTTAACAGCCAAGAAATAAAACAAACAAATAAAATGTGGTGGGATAGCCAAGAGCCTTGGTAGTACAGGGGTTTAAGGCACCCTGTTATTAAGCTTATTAAGACCAGCTGCCTGCAATTACTGCAGGGTTCGAATCTCGCCAAGGCTCAAGGTTGACTCAGCCTTCCATCCTTTCTAAGGTAGGTGAAATGAGGACCCAGTTTGTGGGGGCAATAAGCTGACTTTGTATAAATATACAAAAGGATGAAGGCTATTGCTGAGCACATTGTAAGCCGCCCTGAGTCTTCGGAGAAGGGCGGCATATAAATCAAATTTAAAAAAAATAAAAATAAGGAGGAGTATGTTGAGATTAATAGTTAAAATGAAATGAGTAAGTTAGGTTTAATAACAGAAATAAAGATTATAAATGTTGAGCTCAATAGTAAGAATAAAATGATTATGTTGGAATCTAATATTTTTATGAATGTTTATAATAATTTATTATAATAATATAATAAATTATAATAATTTATACTTTAAAAATATATCCATCTAAGCAAATGAAAGAGAAAAAGGGAATGATAATTGGTTAAGGATTAAGATTTAAGTAATAGTTTTTTGGGGATAATGGCATAGTTAAATAATAGATTTGAGGGAAATAACTGAGTAAAATATTAAGTTGTATTAATTGAAAATTAAGATTTGTTAGTGATTTGTATGAATTTGTGACCGAATCAAGAGCTTTGTTTTGAAAAGATGTGTTTTATGTTTATGTTTTAAAATAATAAAAAACTTTTTTTAAAAAAACAATGCTAGCTGAGAAATTCTGGGAGTTGAAGTCCACACAGCTTAACTTGTCAAAGTTGAGAAACACTGAGCCAAGAGCACAGAACTTGGCAAGCATCAGCAGGGCCTTTTCTGCAATGGCTCCACTGACTACTAATCTCCAAAAGGACCCTCAAAATTCATGTATTAATCTTAATCTTGTCTTCAGTTGTTTCTAGTGGGATGGAATTCTTAAAAATAATTATTGCATAATTATTGCTTCAAACATTCCTTGAAAGAGATCAAAAATGATACACAATGCAACATTCCATATCTATGGAATTAATCCCTATATTTTAATATATATATATATATTATAACTGTAACTTACCTAATCACATTTTATGGCTACGAAAAATATTTTTAAGCCTGACTTTTGAATTCATCATCTGCTTGTTCTTATTATACATTACCTGCCACTAAGCGACCACATATTTTACTCAAAGTGAACCATTCAGCATTATTAAATATCTGTGAATTGCAATTTTATTGAAAACATTAAAAGATAGCTCTATTTAAATTAGGAAAACCGAGCAATGATATCTGGTCAGTAATTCCAACCTACTAGCTATATCGTTGCAAGGACTTTTCTTTTAAAAAGCACAACTTAGTTTTGAAAGTCACCGACCAGACAGAAACTTTACCATTGGAAACAGGGAATGCCAAAATCAGCAGAAATAGAGGGAGGGGGGACGACAACAGTAGCTGGACTCTCCGAACGCAGCCGCCCTGATGAGAATTAAGCGTAGTGTATTTCTTATTATTTAGAAATGCTGGCAAGCCTTGAGCGGAAAAGAGGGGATGGGGGAGGGGAAAAGAGAATGAAAAAGAGGCAAGGGACGACAAAACAGCAGGATTGCACGGCGGTTTGATTTTTAACAGCCACATTCAAGCAAAGGCTTGGAAACACCGATCTGCTCCACTTGAGGGAGGCGACAATATCCCACGGGAACTTGCTTCTTTCTATGTGTGAAACCATTCGTCTTCCTGCTTCCTCTTCCCGCCCAGTAAGGGGGGCCAAGAATAAGAAAGCCAGCACCGCAATTGCGGTGTTGCGGCCAAGATATCGCCTGACCCACGACAGCCGTGCCTTCCGCCCCACTCCTTTCGCCGGCGTTAGCCCGCTGCACCAAAGAGGCACGCAAGAGGGAAAAGAAAAAAAAACCAAAACAGAAGGAGATACCTGCCAAGCAACACGCACGCAGCAACCTCGGCGTCTGGCGGGCGAGTCCACAGCATGCGCGCCCGCCCGCCCGAGACAGGGCATAAAAAGGGAAGGAAAGGCAGGGAGGAGACGGCCGGACCCAGCCCCGTTTGGGCCGCCGGCTTGTACGCAAGCGAGTCCCCTGGCGCAGGGTGGGGAAAGCCTTTGTTGACAGGTCCAAAACGCGGAGAATCGGGAGGTGCCACGTGCCCGCCGCATAATAAGTCGCACCAATTCCGCCCGAAGGTTTTTATTTTTTTAAATAAAATAAAATAAAACGTTGCTGCGAGTATTTATACAAAGCGTCGAAAATGTTCGCAATGCCTTGCTTCCCCCCCCCTCCGCCCCCTTGGGGAAATATTTTCCCGGTTGAAAAGCACAATTGACGCAAGGCCGGGCTGTCGCAGAGAAGCAAAAGACTGCTCCGAGCGAAACAAAAGAAGGAGCTGGAGCCCCCTGGCCCTCTCTCCCGACCGGCGGTGCAGCGAGGAATGGGCTTAGTCAAAATCCCGGGCCCACAGCCAAGCTCACCCTCGATGACAGCTAATTGGGTGAAGGGCTACGGCAAAAAGCTGCAGAGTCAGTCGATTCCACAACTCACAACTGGGTAAATTATAAAGCACAAATTTTAATCCTATTTAATTTTTAATCGTATCAAATTTAGCTATAATGTGGCCTTACCTACTTTTTTATCCTGGGCCTGCTAAATTCTGGTCCCTGGTGATACAATGAGTTAAATGCATTCTGGGCTGGATTCCCTATTGGGCAATTTGTGTCATGGACTTAAGTCATTTTAAATTCCATAAAATACCATCCAATTTCTCATCCTTTCCTTTTTCTGTCAGGAAGAAGTGGACAAAGCATAGGTAATGCTGTCCTCTTGGACATCCCTTGTTCGAGGCAATATAAAATCCTTCTTTTGGTCTCTAGACTCTAGAGCAGTCTTGCTCAATTGTGGCAACTTGAAGATGGATGGACTTCAATTCCAAGAATTCCAAGGGAATTGAAGTCCATACATCTTCAAACTGTCATCATTAAGAAAGATGGCTCTGGAGAAAGAGGCATGCAGAGGAAGCTAACTGCCACCTAGCCTGCTCATTCTCTTTGTCACTCACTTGTCTGATAGCAAAGATGCTCAGTTCAATCATGCTGCTGAGAGAAAAAGTTCAGACAACCAATTAAATGGTGATTCGCTGTCCTTTAAGCCAGGGGTCCCCAAACCATGGTCCGTGGCATGTCAGGAACCGGGCTGCGCAAACAAGCAAAGCCCCATCCGCGGAATGCAGGCAGCATGGAAAACCACACCTCCTCTGGTCCACGGAAAAACCTCTCCACAAAACTAATCTGCTGCTCAAAAAGTTGGGAACCATTGCTTCATCTAGCACATTGAAATAGCCAAGTTTCAAAAGAGTATTACTGGTATCTCTTGTAAGTGCTGTAAAATGATAGGTTCTGTGGTTGAGATGCTTTCAAGTTTCAGCTGTGCTTTTGTTGTTTTTCTTTACAACATATAATATTACCTAGCAAATATTGGCAATAAAAGAGGAATAAAATATAGGTCAATAAAAGAGGGAAAGCATGGCTAAAGACTGATTTAAGATTTTCCGCAACTGGCCATCGCCACATAGCTATTCTACAAAGGGATTCATGGGTACGCATAGATTGCAAAAGGCTGCATGTGGGCTGATATGCACACCTGCAAACCCCAATTGCATGTTGTGTGGAGGTGCATGTCCTATGCGCTGATTGGTTGATCTGAGTTCCTGTTCTGTGCTTTGCTCTTTGAGTGCCCCCTAAACAGAATATTACGTTTGCAGAAATATAAATGGAACACCTATGCAACTGTTCCTGAATGACAAATGTATATGTTCCTTCTGCTTGACCCTTAAATGGGCTTCTGAAAATAAAATGTAAAAGGTGTCTGGGTGTTATCAAAAACCAAAAGCCACATAGTCATAAATACTGTGAGACAAGATAGAGTGAACTGTTTAAAATCAACAAACTGTTTAACATAATAGTTTCAAATACACAGACTTTTTTTTTATTATTATCTTTTCTCCTGGAAGTCGTCAACTAACAAATGCTTTTTACCGGTGTGTTGTACTTAGTACATTGCGATGACAACAAGTTCAGCCCATGATCACGCTCTGATATTGTTAAAATGAGAAAAAATAAAGCTCCTGGATTAAGTAACTTTGTTTTTTCCCTTGGTTTTAGATAATTTAATACTCTGTTTTGCAATAATAATGGTGCAATATTACCATTCAATTGTGCACAAAACAAATGTCACGTTTTATCAATCTATTAGTAATATTCAGATCAAGGGTAGGTTCTACTTACCTTTACTACTGGTTTGCAACGGGATTGCACATGCGCGCTTGCTTCACGCGCGCCTGTGCCTTGCTTCTGCGCAGATCGCTGATGACGACATCCAGGGTGGTGGGTGGGGCCAGTTTTATTACCGGTTCTTGCGAACCAGTCTGAACCGGGGGCAACCCACCACTGATTCAGATATGCTTTTTGTATTATATCTACCAATGTGCAGTATTCTTTTTAGAAGAGAATATTTTTGTTCAGGGTTGAAGATCTCACAATATTCTGTTTAAAATATGGGTTGGAAAAATAGAGATGCTCTTTTTTACTGATTAAACCAGCAGTCACCAACTGGTGATCCATAAGAAAATTTTGGTGGTCTGCAGAAAAATTATTTGCATATTTTGTATTGCATTAAATCAGGGGTCCTCAAACTATGGCCCCTGGGATGGATACGTGCAATGAATGTTTGTGTTGCTGCAGAGAGTCTTCCCCTTCGGGATCTTTTTGTGTGGGTCCCAGGGGGATAGAAATTCTGACTTGGGGTCTGCTTCGGCCTCCTGGTGCTGGGGTTTGGGTGAAGGCTGGAGGGAAGTGCTGTGGGTGGCGAAGAGCCAGAGGGGCTTGTTCCAGTGGGATTGCATCATGGTCTGAAACTGGCTGACCATCTCAGCCCACTAAGCCTCCAGGCCAGAGGTGAAATCTAAAAATTTTCGCTACCGGTTCTGTGGGCGTGGCTTAATTGATGGGTGGGGCTTGGTGGTCAGGTGACCCTCCTCGGTGGGCGGGGCTTGGTGGTCAGGTGGGGGTGGCCAAGTCGACATCACTTCTTTGCCCTTTTTTGACCTACAAAAAGAAAATATACCAATTATATCATGCGATAAATTCTTAAATAATAAACGAAGTACACAAAACAATAAGAGGTACACAAATACTTATATAAGAGCAATAAAAATGTTGTTTTCAACTTTCTTCTTGCACCAATGATAATAATGACCTACAAGGAGATATAACATGATATACAAATTTAACCATTTAATACAGAAATAAGAATAACAGAAGTTCACAAAACAATAAAAAACAATAAAAGAGGTACATAAATACTTACATAAAATTGTTAGTCATCTTTAGCTTTGAGATGTTTTCACATAGCTATTTCAGTGGCACTCTCCTCACTTCCACTTTTCTTGCACTTGATGCGCGGATCATTGGCTGAGCAATGGTTCTAAACCATTTTTTCACTGCAGGAATAGGGTCCCATTTTGGAAGAGGTAGTCCGGTGATGCTGATGGTCATGAGGTTGGTTAGATTGGAAACGGCTAGGCGACTTCTGCTCTATGAACATATCAGGTTCATTTTCGAAAAAACCCTTTCCGCTTCTGCAGGACTCACTGCAATTGTTCTGACAATATCTTTTGCTTTTTTGATACTGTCAGGAATTACATACCTCTTCAAATCGTTTAAGACATTCTCCACAAAATCTTTATAGTCATTGATGTCAATGCTGTAGTTGAAAATGTCACTAAATGTGCGCAGTTGTTCTTCAGCTGCTGCCCATGGAATGAACGACTATTTCCTCAAAATCCCAGAACTCCGGCACCAAAAACTGTAGAAACTGTAGTTTGTTTGTGGTGTCTTGCAGTTGGTTCCCAGTTTTTAAATGCTCACAGTCCATCTGTCGTTTCTGCAAATTTTTGATGATACTTTGTAAAAGTCTTTCTCAATGAAGACCAACAAATCAATGGTTTTCTATGAAGTTTATATTCCTGAAGGTTTCTGAGGTAATTAGTCCTTCAACTTTTATTTCGTATGGACTCTTTCCTTTTGTTAGCAGTTCAAATGCCTTTATTGATCTTCTCACCAGTTTTTCAGCTTTTATTATGTCCGTATTGCGTGCTTGCAGTGCAGTTGAAAGAAGTGAAATTTCTTCCAAAATGTCTATCATCAATGCCAAATCATTTAAGAAATATTTATTTTCCAGATGGGCAGCTATACCTGAGTATTTTGCATTCCCGTGAAAATATTGATGTAGCACAGGATAAGCATGCCACACAGCTATGGTTGCCCGTAAACTACAGGCAGCCCATCTTGGCCCAAAAACTCAACCAATCCTTATGATGTTAATTACAAGTTCTTCAGATATTTCGTCAAGTTCAATTTGGTTTTTATTGGACTGCTAGAAAATAGAGCATATCTTATCAGTACAAATTTTAAAATGAGTTACCTGTTTTATTCCCTTCATGGCATCATCTAAAACAAGTTGGAGGCGATGGTACAAGCAGTGCCATATGATGATGTTTGGAAACTCGTTTGCTATTCTGGTGCTCACTCCAGATTTTCTCACAAGCATAACGCTGGCACCATCAGAGCAGAATGCTATCAAATTTTTTGTAGGTAGTCCCAGGTAAAGCCAACCTTATGTAAACTTTCAAAAACTGCAGAACATATTGTCTCTGCATTTTGTTTCTTCAATTCAACAAGCTTGACAAAAGTAGTTGGTGGGTCCTCTGAGTCCTCAATTTTTAAGAAAACTATCAGAACTGGTTTGCAGGATACTGTTGAGGCTTCATCAATGATCAGACATTTCTTCAGATTCCGTGCAATGATGCTGGAAAACATTTGGGTTTTAATTTCATTTGCAATGCACTCAACTATTTTCACAACTGTTGGCCTTGAATGCAATCTTACTCCCAGATCTACTCCATTTTCAGTTTGTAATTCTATCAATTCCTCTATGCTTGAAATTGGTCTGCATGCTTTTGCCAGGCTGTAAACAGTTTTGAACATTTTAGAAGTGGTGCCAAATTGCCTTTCAGATATCTTGTCCATTGCTTTTGTTATGGCTTCCTGCTCAGCTTGTTTTACATTGTCTCTACAAATGGTGTG